GCAATAGAGAACCTTGGTTGTAAATTAGTAGTTAATTCTTCAGGTGGGATGTTCTTAAAATAACCATCTATGAACATAGATTAATTTTAAAATCAGATGAAAGCAAACAACTGAGAGCAACCCATACACATATGCACAGAAAATACATAAAGTCATACTGGAAACAGGAAAACCAAAAGAAAAAGTTAAGTGACACTCATGAACTTAAATTTTAACATTTTATTTAATATAAAATGCCAAAACAATGCAATGTTGACAAGTAAGCAATATAAATCCTTTGCTGGTCACATTATTGGCATTTTAATTGGTCTTAATTTCTGTACATTAACATACAAGATATAAGCAAGATGAGAAATATGAATGACATTAATTCTCCATTCTTGCTTCTAAGCTTAAAAGCTCTGTTAAGAAATAATATACCGGCCGGGCATTGGTGGAGCATGCGTTTAATCCCTGCACTCGGGAGGCAGAGGCAGGTGGATCTCTGTGATCTCGAGACCAGTCTGGTCTTCAAAGAGAGTTCCAAGACAGACTCCAAACCTACAGAGAAACCCTTTCTCAAAAAAACCAAAAGAAAAAGAAAAAGAAAAAGAAAAAGAAAAAGAAAAAGAAAAAAAATACCATGCTGGGCAGTAGTGTCACATGCCTTTAATCTCAGCACACAGGAGGCAGAGGCAGGCAGATCTCTGTGAGTTCGAGGCCAGCCTGGTCTACAGAGTGAGTTCCAGGACAGCCTCCAAAGCAATACAGAGAAACCCTGTCTCGAAAAGAAAAAAAAAGAATATACCAGAATTGTGCATATTGTTTTTATTTACACCTTCTTGACTTTGATGTTTTGTCACATAAATGTAATCATATAAACTTGAGTTTGCAGATAAATTTTGATGTTTTATATCACAAAAATATACTTCAATATCATCTCAATATGTGAGAACTATAAGAAAAAATCTGCAACTTTTAATTATATTTTTGGTTGTTTGATCTGAAATCTAGTATGTTATTTAAAAATTGAAACAATATAGATGTGTTATTGGTTTTGCTTTTTCTTACTAGATCTTTAAAATGCAGTTAGGTTTATTTTTTAAAAAATGAATAAATGGTTATTTTTGTTTCATTTCCTAAGTAAATAATTAAAATGCAGTGGTGTTGACATTTCATCATGTGACAAGAACAAACTAAATCTTATACACTTGTGCTATGTCTTTGCAAAGCAGTGTGTTCCCGTTTCAATACATTAACAATATAAATACATTACTAATTAATTGGTTTCATATGTTTTTCGTACTATATCTTGAACAAACATATGCTTTTCTACATACGGCAATCACATTTTGGAGTATCAAATATGTAGGACTCCTTGTGCTTATTTTCTACACATTAGAGCAATTGTGGCAAATTTAATAGAAAAGAAACATCAGAATAATGTATACCATGAAGGAATACTTATGCCATGTATCCTAAATGTCTTCCCAAGATAATTGATAAAAGCTGGTCTCAAGCTGATGGCTCCATGGCAGGTGGTTGAAATTTTTAATGGCCTATATTTCAACAAACTTTGGAGCAGGCTAGCTCAAGAATGCAGTTCAGTGTAGTCCCACTCCTGAAGGCCATAGAGAGACTCAAGCTCCTGACCTCTCTAATTACTGACCTCATGAATTCAAAGGCTCTCCCTCTGCCACAAGCTCTGTACCATGCTCTGCCTTGCCCAAGTTCTAAAGAGTGCAATAAAACAGGCATGGTGACACATCTAAAGAAGGGTAACAAACTTCTCTTCCTTACCAGTCTATTATTTCAGGCTCTTTGCACAATGACAGAAGGCAGACATCAAATAGACTTGAGAGAAACTATCCTCCAGGATGATAACATTGAATCCATTAATTCTGTTGAGAAGAGACTCAACATCATAGAGTCCACTTTGCATTTAACAGCACATGTAACAAGAACAAGGATGATAAAACAGGGTCCAAGAGGGTAGAAAAACTTTCTTCTATGCACTAACAACATGTGGAGGAACAGATGAGCCTCAGAAACATTTATCCTCTGAGTGGCTTGAGGCAGAACCTTGTCTTGTGTGTCTGTTCATTCTTGCTGCCTACAATAATATCCCCAACTGATGCTTGGTAAATGAGCCACTCAGTGGGCAATGGGCATAGTTTTTTTTTTTTTCCGTCACTGTTAAATCCCGATGGTTTCCTATAAGTGAATGAAAACAGCCTTACATAGAGGAACTTAATACAACTTAGGGGATAAAAGTGTTGGTTTCAGTAACTACCTGCCCTCCAGATATATATATCCAGGAAAGGTTAAATTGTTATGTCTGGTGTCAAGTACCCACAAGTACATCTCAGTGAGGACAGGGGTGTAATATTCTATGATGTAGTCTTTGAATATCTTCTATCTAAAACTTGAGTAGGTATGATGAAGTATTATCAACAACAATATTTAAGAGACACACAGACAGTCTCAAAGTCCTCCATCTTCTTGTAAGTAATTCTCTATAGAAATCAGTTACAGAGCTATATTTCTTAACTGTATTTTGCTACAAAATAAGAACTTTATATACTCAGTCTATGGGATCAGGAAAAACATTTAATACTTAGAGGGAACAAACATATCAAGGTGAAACTGTGTTGAGATGTAAATTTAATTGGAGTAAGTAATCCAATTCATGTCGTCCCTGTCTGCCTCTTGTAGCATTATTTTCAAGTATTCCTGCACATCAGCAAGCTTCTGTCGATCTAAACTGCCCTGAAAATGCCATCTCCCATAGCAATGCACCGGGATAGGATAAATCACGTATTTAAGCTGCATCAAGGGTGTTAAGTACTCAAGAATTCTCATGAGCATAGGCATAGTGATTGGGTTGGAGGAAAAGCTGAGCACTCGGAGATGGGAACAGCGACTTAGTGCTGGGATGAGAACGGAGATTGTATAAAAGGCAATGATTAATTGCCAGATGCTGCAAGGTGTCAGAGATATTCTGCAAGAGGTTATAAAAGGGCTCACAATCTTCCCAGTACATTGGATTGTTGCTGATATTCAGCAGCTTTAAATGGTTGGCTTGAGGGCACTCAGACAGAAACTTGAAGTCGCTGTAAGAAAGTCCACAAAATGGCAGATGTAAGAAATCCAAACAAGCTGGTAGGACTCTGCAGGGAGGAAATAGAAAAGTATTTCTGAAAAATGAGGACTTATAAAATCAAAACTATTATCCATGAATCTAAAACAAACTATTTTGCACATCAGCAACAAATGATGTGAGCTTTCACACACATAATAGATTTGTGGGTCTGTGAAAGATACTTTACCACCCTGACAAATAATATTTTAACCTTGACAATCTGTACAATATATTCTATACAGTTGTTTGAAAATATTATCTACTTAGTAATTACAATATAATCAAGGGGGGCTAGTTCACCTGCTCAAAAGAGATGACAGAAGGAGCAAAGAACTGGAAGGTCCCTTTGGCCAGTCCATAAATGACAGCCACTACAGTCAAGGCCTAAACCTTGGAGATTTTTTTGGGGGGTGGAGGGTTCAAGACAAGGTTCCTCTGTGTAGCTTTGGAGCCTATCCTGGCATTCGCTCTGGAGACCAGGCTGTCCTTGAACTCACAGAGATCTGCCTGCCTCTGCCTCCCGAGTGCTGGGATTAAAGGCATGTGCCACCAACGCCCTGCGGAGATTTTCCTAATGAGCTGACATTGCTGTCTGTGGTATATGGCTATGTGCAGCTGTGCCACAACATTAAGTCTTTCTCTCAATTCCTCCTCTTCATCTCTCGGCGGCCAGAGGAGGACTGAATGGTTCTTTTCACCTTTATATTTCTGGAATGAGCACAGTGCCTACACATGCTCATATGACTACATTTTTTTGTAACTCTATTTGTTTCATCAGTTACACAGACACCCTTCCCTGGTTGTTTTAAACTCCCAGCATTTCCCATGCTGAGGGAGAAGGAGAAAGGATTCTGGGAAGCTTAAGAATATCTAAGAATTATTTCTCTCATCTTAAAAACCAGCTATTATTGGAAACCCACTACATATGTCATTTCCTTACCTGAGGACACTTTCAAGATGATCCGTGAGGCAAAAAGAAGACAAATTGAGCTCATTGAGGCGGTCCATTCGCCTAAGCTGAGACAGAAAATTTTGGAATGTTTTCCCGTTCAAAGATCTACAAGTGATTTTCGAAAGACAAAGTCTGTCCAGATGGACCACCTGAGCCAGAAGGTTGGTGACCTCACCCAGAGAAGCCTCATCAACTGCTAGGTGATCAATACATTTCAGATCAAGATGATTTAGGGTGTCTCTGCAATCATACAATTTATCTATTTGCAAATCTCGGCAGCACAGATGCAAAGAGCCTGAGCTCTGCTGCACTTTATTCAGAAGCAGACACAAAAATTCCCTCTCCCTTAAGGTGCCATCCAGGGAAAGGTTCACTACTAATTCCATTGCCTTCTTGGAGGACTGAACCTCAGGTTCTGAACTTGCAACACTAGGCTGGGCTTCGATTTTCATGATAGAGTGCTCAGAGTAAGCACAAGCGTAAAAACAAGCAGGGGACTTAATACTGATATCGGGGCAGATGGTCTTGCAGCCAGCATCCTGCCTCAAATCTAGGATCCTCAGTTTAGGGCTCCTGTAGGGAAAAGAGAAACAGAACAATAAGAGATATCAAACATTAATATAACCAAGCAGAATCAATAAATAACATGCAGGGACAAAATTATCCTTTTTTTTCTTTTTGTCATTCCACATACCAGTTACCAGCAAGACTTTCTTATGCAAATACTATATCCTTTACTATTTTCTATAATCAATTAATGCCCACAAGTCTTACTATTCTTATCTTCTATTATGTATACCTGTAAACAGTAACCCACTATCCTCTATTACATAATTAAAACCCTCTGTAAGACATTAGAGTTTTTAATATAACCTCAACTGGTGTACCAACCAACTCACATTGATTTTCGGGATTCACCATTAACTAACTAACTGTGGAAGATTATCTGGTTGTCTTTTTCAACAGGCTCCAGGATAATGTGATGCTATCTTACCATATACATATTTTGCACATTCTTACTGCAAAGCTGAGCTCTTGTCAGTAACACCCGAAGACCATCATCAATCATGTTTCAGTTCACTGTATTTCTTGTATGCTTAACTTTCTAATATGGAGGCATAAAAAGGGCCAAGACTTTACCATTTCTGTCAGTGTCTTATGCCCATCCATTGAAGATACAGCAGTGAACAAAGATTATCAGTAAAAAACGCACATTATTTTTTTCTTTTATTCTCCACCAATCCTCAGCAGTCTTAACACTCATGTCTTTCTTCTATGTAAAGCACCATAATGCAAATCCATCAACAGTGTCCTCAATCACATTCCATATCCAACATTGTAAGACACTCCTTTTCAAAGTGAACTCAAGTGTTGGACCAATAGCCTCACACATAAATCTTCAGCATTCACTATTTACTACATTTGGAAGAACAGCAGGCTATGGCATAACATATGTCTTGCCATGGCGTTATTATACAGGGTCTTACCTAGAAGCTGAGTTATGGACAGGTAGAAATTGAAGACTCTCAACCATGGCTTTCAGAAGATCACGATGAGCTTCCCGCACACTCAATGTTCCGATGTGGAGACAACTAAAGGGCCAAACCTTCACCATTGCTGTCAGTATATTCTTACGCCTTCCCATGAAAGTAGCAGAGAACAATGGAACAAAAAGCTCCCTAGGGATCTCCTGGAGAGCTTGAATTGCTATAGGCTCATTATTCAGAAGACAATGTATAGCCAGATCTAAAAGTGTGGGTGGTTTCTTGTTGTCCATCTTAATAAACCTGCATGAGGGTGAGAAACATTGAGAAAACTTGACAGATACCTACAGTCTTCTTTGCAACCATTGTTAGCAATATAGATAACTATTTGTAGAATAAATAGATGGTTAAACAGTCACTTCTAGATACCTCTATCTGTAGGCAAAATACATTGGTTTGTGAGAGTTTTGAGGTCTATTTCTGTATGAATAGACACATAATAAGCACCTTTACCTATATATGTATACATAAATAGGCATATGTCATAAAATGTCAATAGAAATGAGCATTAAATTAGCAGAAGACAATTTTGGTCACTTACATATCTGACTCCTGATATTTCATCTCAATAGTATATATGCCATCAAAAAAGTAAGGCTAAATCTATACAAAAGTGATAACCCATCATCATTATCTTGGAAATAGAAAATACTAAGACATCAAATAAACTGTGATTAAAGAAAAAGAATGACATTCCAGCCCATGACTTGTAATACATGGATCACCTATGTGGCATATGAAGACACACCAAAATTGCAAGAGACTGCATGAAAGAAGATGGTAAGCTTAGGGCTTCAAACTGACCTGAGCCTATAACCAGAAAAACTATTCCTAATATAAGCCTGAAATACACAAACGTATCCTAAAGATAAAGGGAGAACCACAGTTTAATGAAGCAGCTCTCCCAAAGATGTACAAGTAAATCCTTATGTTCTCTCCTATGTGGGGTAACAGCTTACCTGAAATAAAATAGAAATTCTAAGCATCTATTAAAGGTGCCACATTAGGTGTTAGTTTGGAAAAAGAATGAGATGACATGATTTATGTAGACTAGAGGAAAAGCATAGAAATACAGAGTGATTTCCACTAAGATGTGTAATTAATATATCTTAAAAAGGAATGGGTTCTATGGGGGAAAGAACAAAAAAAAGAACTAATCTTAAGGTTGGTTGGTAAGTGATGGCGGAGTTGAAAAGTGTAGTGAAGAGTGAGTTGAGGTGGTGAATATGTTAAAAATATACTATATGAATATCTCAAAAATTAATAAAATTATTTGAAAAATAAATCTTTGAAACACAATTTTTGAGAAAGTATAAAGTCAAAGAGGCTATGAAAATCATTCAAAGAAAACTGGCATTTATGGGGAAAGAAACAAAAGGGAGAAATTAAGTATCTGATAAGGCAAAAAGAAATAACATAATGAGAATTTTCATAACTTTTACCTTTAATACCAAAACAAAGAACTTACTATAAAGAGTTGTCCTTAGACTTCCATAGAGCTCTTTAACATGTACCCTCCTGCACTTAAATACATATCATACAAATACAAACTAAAATTAAACCAAAATCATAGAACAAGCAAAACAGAAGAGTCAGGTTAAGAAAAGGTACGACCTTAAAGTTTCAGCAACCTTCTCTGTCACACAGGTTATCTTCTGCTGTAGAGGGTGGGGTAAGAATGCAATCAGATCAAACTTACAACAAAAATTAAGGTCCTTTCCTTCTCAACTCTTAAAGCACATATGAGATAACTACATGGATATCAGCAACCTCATAATTTACAAACTAGAGAGTCTCTGGGGAGGGACAGAACCTTCTCCCTACAGGTATAAATGCTATGAATACATAGCAGAGGTTCATGGGACACACACACACACAAAAATGAAAGCTCCTAAAAGGAAGAGAGCTGTGTCAGATAGCTGACCTTTGACTAGTCAGGGCTCGGTACCAACATAAAAATCAATAAAGATGAAAAGAATCCAAAGTCAATTCTCAGTTGGCATTCTCTTCAACAGTGGACCTAGAGATAAGCATCTTTAATACTTAGACATTTAAAAATTTGTTTATGTCAATTATGTTTCCCTTTTTTTCTGCTGTGCTTTTGTATCATTTATACTTTACAACATTTCCAAACCTTCTAGTTTTTATTCCTTTACTTGCATTAGGAAATTTTGCTCACACACTTGTAGTTATGCACTCCTACCATTATCTCTTCCTATTCCCTCTCCTCTTTCTAACATAACAGCCCAACCAGCAAATCAATCAGGTGCCATCATAGCAAGTGACACGTGAGGTTTCTAGGCCTGTGCACAGGAGAGAGGAAAGGCAACAGCTCAGTTCCATGCCTTGGGGTTAGGGCAGGCAGTACTTCAACCAAGTTCCCCAACAAAGTGCCCCAACCAAGTTCCCCAACCAAGAGCCCTGGCATTGGGTAGTTGGGCAGCATGTGGTAAGAAAGTCAGGGTGGGGAGGTGGAGGAGTAGGAGAGGGGAAATGGTTCGTGGGCTTGGGAGACAGATGGATCTGGAAAGGTGAGGGTGGTGAAGAATGGGCTGATATAAACGGCCAGTTGGCCATCCGAGTCCAGGCCTGGGCTATGCCCAAGGGCCAGGTCTTGTTCTGGGACCCTGGAGCAGCTGAGGGAGTCTGTGTTGACGTCTGTGGCTCCTGTTGACTCTGGAGACTGTGCAGGGGCCTGTGGTCTGGCTACCACCTGGGGCCATGCTGTTGTCCAAGAACCACTCTGCCACAGGGGCAATGCTGGTCCAAGTATCCTGCTTCCACCTGAGACCATGCTGACATCTGGGACCTGACTGCTGCCTAGGAACATATCTGGATCCATGGTCCTACCACAGCCAGGCTCTGTATTGATGTTCATGGCCCATGTTGTCACCAAAGACCACATAGATACCCAGGGTCTGGGCCACAACTTGTGGTCATGAGGGTGTCTGAGGGCCATGCTGCCACCAGGGACATGCTGATCTGAGTGGTCAGTGCTGGCACCCAGGGCCATGGTTTCATCCAGGCCAGAGTTGCTGCCAAGGGCCATGTCTGGGTCCTTGCCAAGCCAGCAGCCAGGATCTAGATTGATGTCTGGGGCTCCTGTTACAACTGAGGGACAAGCAGATGGCTGAGGTATGATTGGCCACCTC